GCATATATTTTCAGTCTCTTGTTTGGCTATCTGCTTTCCATTACTTATCAAATTCATTACTTTGTCACTGCACATTCTCCTTCCAACAAATGTACCCACATTAAAAGGCAAGTATATATATCCTTCCATATTTCCCTCATACATAACTAGTTTTGTATATACTTACATATATATATATACACATATATAATAAAAAAGTGGTGTATATATATATGTGTGTGTGTATATACAGAGAGAGAGAGTTGTGTGCACACACACACACACATTGCCAGTGCACCACTATGCTGAAAATGATACACTAAAGGCACTGGCAGGGGCAAATGTCTTCCAGTTACTAACTAGCAGCTCTCTCTGTCTTATAGAATATAACTATAACTGTCTAGCAAAGATGCTGTGAAAGACTGGTTTTCAGAAGAGACTTGGAAATACAGATTTCAAGTTTCCAGTGACCCACAGTAATAAAAGACTATTCTAAGGAAAGATATAGGGCTGAGTACCAAGAGATAAATATCCAATGTCTATCTGTCAGTGAGAGTCCTACTAGCATAAGTTTGTATTAGTATTATCAGTGATACACAGATGTGAGTTCAGGATAATTCACTCTTTGTTTTGTGTTGTTGTTTTTCCACTAGACAATTTCTCAATGAAATTCCTTCAGGTTGACTCTTGTAGCACTAATTTATATCTTCAAAGCCTGAATGTTATTGCATGATATTGTTGAATCATAGTCCATCCCATATAGTTTGTGTAGGTGGGTTTTTACTTTGATGCTTCTATTTTGCTATAATGAACAATGAATATCACTGCATTGTTCTCTGTATTTGTTGTTGTTTCCTACAAGATAAGTCCTCAGGTTTGAGATTGCTGTGGAATGGAATTTATTTCATTATCAATTGCCATGTTTTCCCACCTGGTCATAACACTTTACATCTTTACAACTAACATAGAAAAGGAACCTTCACCAAACCTTTGCCAGAAATACATATTTTATGAGATAATTTCTTAATTACATTTGTCCAGTAGAAAGCAATGCAAATACTATCCCAGCTTCACACATTCTCCTAAACCATTACAGAGTATGGAGATATTTTAAGTCACAGTTTCTAATATAAAATTATCAGGACTTTTACTTAAATCACTGAAAGCAGTAGAGTTTTTCAGTAATACAATAAATCTGGGCCTCCCCGGTGGTGCAGCGGTTGAGCGCTGGGTTGTGAAGCTGCCCTCAGCCTCTGCAGCGCCGGTTCGATCCCCAGCTGCTCCCCGGCCACCGGAGGAGGGTCCCACATGGCGCGCAGACCTCTCCTGCCGCCCGCTGCTCCCCTCAGCAGTGTACTTCGGTCCTTCTGCCTGCTCTGCTCCCCGCTCTGGCTCTGGTGAATTCTCTCACCCTCCCGCACTTCTGACTGTCCAGTGCTTGTATAAATAAATAAATAAATAAATAAATAAAATAAAAAAATAAATAAATCTTTAAAAAAAAAATACAATAAATCTAACATTAATTCATATTCCCACTTTATTTTGCTCTTCTTTATCTTTTAAACTGAAATAAGGTTTGCTGAGTGTGATATTGTAAGTTTACATCAGGCATTGTCTCTGCTTAAATGAGTCAAAGTAGGATAATTTAGATTGTGATTACTCTCCATCTGAAAAATCATAATGACTTCTTATATCAAATATTCATTTCCCGTTATATGTTCATCAAAAATTGTCTGAGGGTGAGGATGGAGTTCTCCATCCAAAAATTCAGTCTGCTGCAATGCTCAAATTTGAAGCTTTGCCAGTGGTTGTGGAAGTGAGGAGAGAAGACATAAAATTGAAAATCAACTCTTAAACCTTCAGTCCAGCAATGAACACAGATTGTGTCCAATCACTTGGTAGCAAGCTAGTATTGATAGGCACATTGATTAGAGTAATTTCTTGGAACATTTTTTAATGTTGACCTTAATTCTGAGGTTACATTTTTGTTTTTCCATATGTGCATATGTCCCATATACCCTCTAACAAACTGCCCATACCAGTGGCCCACTCTGCCTTTTGAAACATTTATTACATGCCTCTCAACTTGCCAACTATCCTTCTGTTCCTTCGTGGTAACTTTACCAGCAGTGAATTATTTTGTGTCTTAATCTTCTTTCTTTTTAAAAACTGGTTCACTGGCTTTCTCTATAAATTGAAGAGCTAATTGATCAAATAGCTTTCCATTTCTGTTATATTTTGTAGGTGGCTCATTAAAGAATTGATTAATGATGTCAAAACTATTATGACAGTTTAATCAGAAACATAAAGATAAATGGTTTGTGTTTGTCATATTTTCGGTGTGATTTAAATCTAGTTTCAACGAGTGTCATTTGAATCCAGTTTAATTTCATCAGAGTGCCCAAATAGTATCTAGGAACACTTGTAGCTTTCATATTGCTAAGCTAGTGGCTAGAATATGTGATTTTTATTTTAAACTAATATAAGTCAAGGAAAAACCTTGGCAATTAAGGAGGAGTGAGGAAATTATAAATGTAAATTTTCATAAAAGCAGTCACTAATTTTTTGTCTATAGAAAATGATCTTGTGGACATCACCTGGAATTGGAGCTTTCATAAAATGGAATTAAAATTCTGATTCCATATTGCTTGTTCTTTTACATTGAAACAGATGTCAGTTTCATATGGATGCTGAATATCATCCAATCTGTTCTTCAAATATAAATGTAATTACTGGTCATTGGTTTTGGATAATTCATGCATCTGCTGAAATCGTGGAGATTTTATTAACTATTTTGATTTAGAATTTGTTCCCTTTAGAAAGCTGAAGATTTTCAACAATATCACTTTGGGATAAGTCACCCCTGCTCCTAATAATAGTCATGCATGCAAAAGTAGCTTGGGTATGGATGATCTGAATTGCAATTACTCACAAAAACCATACAGAAAGTTTAGGAACAAAAAGGGAATTCCCTCCACTTAAGAAAACTCTGTGTACCTATTTCATGTATATCACTCAAGAGGCAAAAGGGGATAGTAAACAAAAGATACAAATCTTAATATTTAGATGGATAGAATAAAGTTAATATTTTTCCTTAATTAGGAGATTCTATGAAAATCAATAAAACAACTTCCATCCATTTTGAGACACCTGAAATAGAGTTTTCAACTTTTTCCTAATTATGAGCTGCATGCAATCAATAAAAAGTATATTTCCTACTTCCTACTCACAGTTAACTTTTTCTTTAAAAAGCAGTAGATATAATTTGTTAATACCAGTCCCCCACTTTCTCCACCTACTACAGCTGCTATGATTACTACTGCCAAACTTCTATTGCTATTACTATTCTACACTCCTGATTAGTTGGGGATAATTTACACATTGACTGGAAGATATAGAGGTTTTATTTTGATTTAGAGCTTATAGTCTCCAAGAAATTTAGGATTTCAAAACAAGTTATCTTATGTGAAGTCAGACCTGTTTTGAGTGGTAGCCACATGTTTTATCAGTTCTGTATTACTCACCTCATTTTTTCTTCACAACAGATCCTTAGAGTAGATGGTTAGTCTTATCTATACTTATAAAGACTGAAATTTGGAAAGGATAAAAATAAATATCAAAATCACGAAGTATGCATTTCTGTGAAGGTTATATTATTGCATAGACATATATTCAAATGTTCTGCATTAAAAATATTTATAGTGCATTATAAATAAATATTCTGAATTATTTCTATTAAATACACTCCTTTTGTTTGAATAAACACTGTTTAAACTCTGTGTTGTTTCATTGTTGAGGTGGTTGTGTTAATATTTTAGAAAACTATGATATGCTCAAATTGCAAAAGTATTAATCCCAAAGGAAACCTGATACCCTTTGTTTATAGGAGGACTATTTACAATAGCCAAGCTATGAAAACAACCTAAATTCCACAGAACATATGAGTTGATCAAGAAGACATGGGGTGTGCACACATATATACAACGGAATACTACAAGACAATTAAAAAAATAAGCTCATGCCATTAGCAGCAACATGGATGGAACTGGAAGGGATTATCCTAAGTGAAGTGAACCAGAAGGAAAAAGAAAAGTACTGGATGGTTCCATTGAATATGGAATATAGAGAAACCAAGCAAAGGATCAGAGAAGACAAACATTAAAACTGACCTTTGAAAGCTGATCATAGATCCGAAGCATCCAGAGGGAAGGGAGAAATAGAGGGGGAGAAGACAATGGGGTAGGGGAATACAGTAGACTATGGTAGAGAACTGTGAGTGCTTAGGTGGTGCAAAAACTATGGTGAACACAACTGAGGGGAGAAAACCTATTGTGAAAAAACAAAGGCGTAACATAATGGTATGTTATTAATAAAAGTCTTAAACATTTAAAAAACAGGTAAAACTCTTTCTCGAACATTCACAAACAAGGTTATTATCACTGGTGTGCTATTTTAAGCATGCATATCTAGAGAAAAATGGAGCATAGGGAAAAGAGTGTTAACTTCAAAGGGCTTTTTCTATCCTTTCCTGTCATTGGTGGCTCTATGAGTTGAGCTGGATGGAACCAGAGGAATTCTTCTAAGTTCATTTTATTGGTCATTAAATCCATCACAGCAAAAAAAAAAAAAAAAAAAAGGTTCCAAATGTATGCTATTCAAGCAGCCAGTTGGCTGTTACTGAAATTACATCTAGTTTTAGTTGTCAGTCTTTTAAGAATGCAAAATGTTATTTCAAACCCAAAACCAGTTTTGTGGCATGAGAAAAAGACTATTAAGTAGGTGAAATGTTGTTATTGAAGATACAGTTTTAGAAGCATCGGTAACAGTGCCATGTAATTCCCAGATGACCACTTGATATTGATATGATAGGGAAAGTAATAACCATTAATAATTGAAAGCAATGCAAATGTATGCATTAAATACAAGCAAATTGAAAGTAGGCAAGTAATAAAACACTAAGCTCTTTGGCTAAGAAGCTTCCTAATTCATTGGGTTTTTGTTTGTTTTGTTTCTTGATCCAGATTTACATTTTTGAAAATAATATCTACTATCAATCTGATATAAAGAGCAGTTCATTGCGATTAACATCTTCTGGAAAAGAAGGAATTATTTTTAATGGAATTGCTGACTGGTTATATGAAGGTGAGTTGAACAGATTTAGTATTCAAAAAAGTGCAACTGACATATTTTAATACAACATCTATAAGAAAAACCTATTCATTCCAGAACAATACTTATAACACTATTTCTTCTCCTCATTTCCTCTCAAATATGCCTCCATGCTTTCGTATCTTTGCTTGTGCTTGTGTGTTGACGAGTTGTGATTTACATCTAATTATATGATTCTACATTTGGTATATATACATACATTTTTTCAGGCTAGATAGATTTTATTTTTGGTGATGTTTAAGATGCTATTTTTTTTCTGGCTCTCTGGAAAAGAAGAAACAAAAAATCTTCACTGCTCAAAAAGTACATGAAAACTATTTGTGTTTAGTCATCTCATTGGGGACACTTGTCTCAAGTAAAATATCATTGAACAGAGAGCAAAATAAAACCTACCAGAATAATCACTTACACATTTGCAACAACTATTAATTCATGTCTTAGTAATAGCTGAAAATATGAAATGAGTCAGGTATTAAAAACCTCTACCCCAGTTTGATCATGTAGTAGTTGAGTTATAGGGACAGATTGCCTGGGGAAGACTCAAAAATTTAGTTTAATACTTAGATTTCAGACTCTGCAATTGATCATGGCAAAATATTTCAAGGCTTAAATTGGGTTATTTGCTTGCTTACAAATTATAAATCTAAGAATCTTCCAGAAAATAAATTTATTTCTTAAGCAGTAGTAGGAAATACAATCATTCTACTTCAGAGCAATATTTTTAATTGAATTGTCTTTATTAAGGTAATGTTGATTTACAGTACTATCTATTAGTTAGGACTATAAATTCACACCAGTGTATATTTTTAATTCTGTAAGAAAAGTGAATCATTTAAGTCATTCATTCACTCATTCATGCCCTCATTCAACAGATATTATTGGAAATCTAGGTAATTGTCTATGTGCCAAGATACATCAGGGAACAAATCAAAGTACTGCTTTCAGGATCCTATATTCAAAATATTTTGCTGGATGAAACTATTTTATTAAGGAAGGTTTAGTATATCCCTTGAGATTTTTATGTTTTTTGTGTAATCTGTAATATGTGTATATGTCAGCATCAAATAGCAAAAGATTTCAGAAACAGCAGTTTATTCCAAAGAGCAATGGAAGTTACTATGGAAATATCAGCAATAATTATGCCCTGACTAAAAAAAAAAAAAAAACAAAAAAAAAAAACACTAATAGTCAAGTAGGGTTCTTTGGTTGAGAGCACATTCAGTGACTCCGGCATTCCTATTTGAAAAAGACAAATTATTAGAGAGGTCTGGGATAGCCCAATAAATTGAAGAAACTGGTATAAAACCAACTTGATGCCTGGATCTAGAATTGTTCAGAGCCCAAGACATGCCCTTTATATTAAAATTAGTATTGGTGTGGTGTGGATTCCCTGACATAAGAAGAAACTGTTAATGCAATGTGGTTAAGTTGTCAGATAATAATAAACACAGAATCCTGTTAAAGAGCAAGGAATAAGACAGCCCATTTGAGACACTAACAGGCAAATCCTACTGATTTGAGCCTGGAAGATTAATATGTATTACACACAAGAAAAATATAGGAAAGAAATTCCTGGCAAGAGTAACCAGCTGATAATAGCATAGGAAATTTAAGTAGTAAGGTGTGTGCCCGGGGAATTAAAATCTGCTTGGTATTAAGACATAAAATTTGAAAAAAGAATGGGTTAGTGACCCTAAAAATAACCTGGTGTTTCAATTATTTTCTCACAAGTGAATAGAAAAACTAATAGAACCTTTTTTGTAAGGGAGTGTCAAGATTAGGCCTCCCATATAACTAGATCATTTTGGTTACAGTTAGAAGCTGAGATCAAATAGAATAAGGGACCAGTGAACAGCTAAGACCTCTTCCCTCTTCTATGTTCTATCAAGAAATAATGAGCATTTGGAATAGGGTTAACGCAGTAAGAGGAGAGAAGCTCTAAAATTGATGTGGCACTAAAATAGATACATCTTGGTGGTTAAATGTATGGTGTATAAAACTGTATATGACTTAGGGGTATAGATGCACACCAGAATCAATATTTTTAATTCTGTAAGGAAAGTGAATCATTTAAGCCATTCATTCATTCCCTCATTCTACAGATATTATTGAAAACCTGCTGTGGTCTGTGTACTTGTCTATGTGCTGAGATACATCAGAAAACAAATCAAAGTAATGCTTTGGGTGGGTGAAAAGAAGTCAAGAATGATTATTCGTGTTCTGGTTTGGGCAAATAGTGATGACAGATACAGAAAGCTGGCATTCATCAGGAGTGGTGGATTTCAGGGAGGAGAGAAATAATTTTGGGGGAATGTTGATGCTCCATAGTAGACTGGCATCCTCCATTGGGTGAGAAATGTGATCCTTAATATCAGTGAACTTTTAAGTGACATTCAATATAGAATATGCTGACTTGATGACTGATCAAGACTTCTTGGGCTTCTGTCCTCAAGAGAAAACTTTTTATAGTTTATGGTCTTACATTTTTTTAAGAAATTATAAAGAGAAATTAGGGACCGTTGTCCGTCAAGTAAGTTTATTTTCTTAATTAGAGAACAAAAATCTGTACATATAGGTTGAAATTAAACTATCTTTGGGGGGTAGACAGAACAAATAGATAGCAAAAAACTTTTGTTGTGACACTGTATATAGTGACAAATTCCAAATGAGTAAAAGGGAAAAAAAAAGTTTATTTCCATTCAAATTAAATTTGACCCTTTGTGCTCGTATGTTGTACAAATACTGGAAAATTCCAGACGTGCTATGTGATTCAGTCTTCACAGTGCTAGCATATATCTAATCACTTACTGAAGAAACCAACATCAGGGAGGATAGGTGACTTGGATTTGGTTTCATATCTCATGAATGGCAAAGTTTGCATCTGAAGGTGTATCTTTAAAGCCATCACTTCATCCTAGGATGCTCTACCTGTACAATGCAAAATCTTTCATGTTCTCTAAAGGATAACATCTGTCATGGAGTGTAAGCTATTAGATTTTGCTGACATTTTCTCATCCAAAGACTGGGAACCCACCTGTTCATGGATTTTCCTCAATTCTTGTTTCATTGAAAAAAAAAAATAGTTGGGAGGCTACTATAGCAATCAATGTTAAGGTTTGTCAGAGGGATTTAGGCAATTCAGATGCCATTTCTTTATTTCAACTTTTGGTCCTGCTTTTGCCAATCTATGCTTCAGGTATTACACATGTACCTTCTTTCCCCACTATCTCTTTGCTTGATCAATATGTTGACAGCTCTCAGATTCCAGATCTTCTCTTTTCCCTTCAACATTCACTCACCAAAATACCATGACATCTGCTAAGAATGTATATGTTCTAGTATGTTCTTCAATGCCATGTGTGTCATTATTTCTGGTGTGGATATTTCCTTTAATTACTTTACAGAAATCAATTAGAATCTGAAGTAGTATGTGTAGAAGACTTCTCAAAAAGTATTGCATACCATTTTCACTTATTTTTTATTGAAATTTATCTTCTTTAAATGTCATAGAAAAAAATATGACAGAAGGTGTCACATAAAAGATAATAAAATGTTTCTATGGTGGATTTCTGGGCATGGTGTAATCTTTTTAGGACCACACTAATCAATCTGTGAGTGTCGCTGTTGCTCCCAGCCACACTAGCTAAGTCAAAGACTAAAATCCTTGAAAGTATCATTTTACAACTTCTTGTTTCTAGTCAAGAAAAATTAAGACAAGTAATATACATGTTTTAAAGAGTTGGGAAGTTCAGAAGAAAAATAAAAGATACTCATCACACAAAGTATATATAATGTTATCCACATATATTTATGTTTCTAACATGGTAACTTAATTAAATAAGATATCAGCTCATTATCCTTTTTTTTTAAAGATTTATTTATTATTTATTTATTTATACAAGCACTGGGTACAGTCAGAAGCACTGGAGGGTGACAGCATTCACCAGAGCCAGAGCGAGGAACAAAATAAGCAGGCTGATGAAGAAATACACTGCTGAGGGGAGCAGCAGGTGGCAGGAGGGGTCTGCGTGCCATGTGGGACCCTCGCCCAGTGGCCAGGGATCGAACCGGCATTGCACAGGCTTTGGGCAACTTCGCAACCCAGCGCTCAACCCCTGCGCCACCAGGGAGGCCCATATCAGCTCATTGTCTTGCTTTAAAAAAGTAAATTACCACATTTCAACTATGAAAATTTTCATAAATAATTGAATTTACAAATAGAAACAAATCATAACTCATTTTTATTAACTAAGCATATATAATAATGGATCTAATATTGCTAAATGATCATAAGTTTATTTTATAATCTCATTTTTTAGGAGTCATTCATTGAAATTCTATCCAACAGTTATTTAGCACATATACCTATTGGGCATTATCTGAGAGCAATACAATAAGGGATAGAAGCTCCTTTATTTAGTGTATTTCCAAATTAGTGGAGAGAAAATTGTAAATAATTATTATGTAAAGAAATGTTGGAAACATGGTATATCAAATAATAAATAAATCTATATGTTAGCATGCAAAATAGAAGTGTAAATAGAATTATTGCTGACGGGATAGGAGAACATAGGGTGATTTCATAGAAGAAATAATTTTTTACATTGTTCTTGAATATGATAAGAAAAAATAAATGAGAGGGAAATTTTAAGGTTAGTTAGTATCCTTTCCACAGATTGTGATTGTTATTCTTCTTTTGGTTTGTTTAATGAGAACAATGTGAAATGTCTATTTTCACACTATATTTGCCTTCTCTTGAGCACAAATAACAATCATTCATCAAGTCAACATTTATTTATTAAACATGAAATTTCTATAAAACTTGACAGTGACAGATAGAAGAAAAATATTATAGATATAGACTTGAGAGCCATAGGAAATGAAGATGATGAGCAACAGGTCTTTGGAGGTAAAACAACCTAATTCAAATAGCTTTGCTATCTGAACTTGACAAGAATAAAAGCATTTTATTG